CGCTGAATTTACATTAATTCCAGCCAAAGCTGGTTTCCCCTCTCCTGTTTAGTCATTTACTACCGATTTTCTGAACTCCTTGATAACTCAAGTTATTTCCCATCTTGCTTAGCTGAACGAAAATAATCGGAATTCCAATATATCTATTCTACAAGAGGATGGGTATCATTTATTTAAAAGAGGGAAAACAACGGTATATTAGGTATTCATACCTCTCTGCAGGTTCCGGTCAAAGAGGAAAAGCTACCATTTGCTTATGAGGTGGAATGATTCAAATTAGCTATTAACACGTAAACCCTTAGGAATGACCAGAATCTAAGTTATCCTTACAGTTCTCCAGATTGTGATTTAAAGATTACTCCTAAATCTAATATTTGGGTCATAGGAATGAAGAATATGATAATGTCAAAGAAGCTCTGGGTTGATAAACGGAATCTCCTTGCTAATACCATAGGAAATGTATCGAGAACTGTGTCGAGAACATGCAACCTGATGTTATGGTTAATGGTTTAAGTGTAGAAGTACAAATTAAAAGAAGCTTATCGAACCTTTTCTACGGATTGTGATTTAAAGATTACACGGCCATTACGAAGAATTTCCGCTTTGCTCTCTCGATCTTTACTTGGTGAATTCATGAGCACATCATACTTTGGCATTTTAACATCATCAAAGCCATACTCCCCCCATTTCTTAGCAACGTAGTGGGCTAGGTCGTTGTTGCGTTTTGAACCAGCAAAATGTGGCTCACTTGAAAAATACCTGTAAATCAAATAAAACAATGGTATGGTCGTGGTTAATTCAAAGCAGTCGTTCCATTTAATAAACTGTATCTTCTGGATCAAAACTGGACAGTAGTTAAAGGAAGGCGTCATGTAGAGGCTTGGGAAAAAAAATCAATATGAGGGTGTTTAATCAAGGCCTTACAAAGTTTGATTGGATTCCCAACTTTGAATTGCGGTCAAATTACCACATTCTGTTAAAAAGCATTGCAGTGACATACTTCTGCTATAATTTGTTTATTTTATCCGACAAATGTTTTAAGGAAAAGTAAAATCCTGGAATAGAGTCAACGACAGTTTGTTAACGCTGAACGAAGAGAAAAATCGTGCTGCCTCGACTAATTACCCCTAGCTGTGAGCGAGGATGGTCATTGAAAAAGAAAACCTTTAAAAAATGACAGAAAGTTGCATTACATTGATTAACACCAAGCCCCGGTTAAACCACGGTTTCTGGCCCAACTTTGCTGGGCCAGTAAACAGTAATCTTAAGTTACTAACCTTGAATTGTTTTCGAGATTTTCCGCCTTAAATGATCGTAAAAGTTCTGTTTGAACGTCGTAGGCACTTCGCAGCTCATTCGATTTGATTTTTATTTCTGTTTCCAAGCGTTTTGTTAGAGAACTTGAGTTTATAAAATATCCAACAAGGAAGGAAAAAAGAATCGCCACCATAACCAAAGAAAGCCTCAGTAACGGGTGGTTGAGGATAGTATTTCGAGGAGTTTTTCTTCCCATTATCTTCGTCTTTTATCTCTTCACAACGGAACGTTACGTTGTACAGCAGATCCTGTACAATGGAATTTTTTCCTTGTACTTTCTATAAATAAAACCGTAATCTTCACACCTTTATAGTTAGATTCAGGAACACTAATACAGCGAAACGGTAGACAACGAACGGTGTCACTGTCTCCGTCACTGTTGACAGGAGAACCCGTACAATGCAAATTTTTCCTCGTACTTTCTACAAATAAAACCTGTAATCTTCACACCTTTTTATTTAGGGTTAGGAACCTGAATACAGTGAAACGCCAGTCAAAGAACGGTGTCACTGTCTCCGTCACTGTTGCATTAGACAAATTGGAGATCTTGCTGACGTCATTGTTTGCATGTTTAACTAAGCGTGGAAAAGAAGTCCTGATCATAATGTATTTTAGGTATAAAAATTCAAGCTTTGATGTGAAAGGAATTGTTTCTCACGTTTGGTAAATAAGTCCTTAAGGTCTTAGTCAGTCATTCTAGGAAGGGCTGTGGATAAATTGCTTTTTTTCAAAGCTGTTCATGCTGGTTGGAAATTGCGATGTTCGTTTTCGACATTTTCGCGGACCGAGGCTTATTCGAGATTTGTCAAAAAGCTTGTCAGCGAAGAAGTCAATATTTAATCCAAAGAATACAATGACGAAATTAGCCTTGTCGTAAAATGAATTCTCAAGAATCTCCTTGAATTTAATCGTTTTAAAGAACTAGTAACAATCATGTATTAGTAAGTGCGTTCATTCTAGCCTAGGAATGGGTATTTTTACCCAGGGACATAAAATTTAGGGCATAATGAAACTTGTTAACATCAAATGGTGGTGCGGCTCACAGTTCTGAATTGTGGTAACTCATGGCGTTCGATCAAATGGGGACAATTTTTCTACACATCATCCTAAGGCTTTCTTTCCGAAGCGAGAAAACCTGCTGGACTGCGAATTAGTCCAAGATGGCGTCGAAAAGCTGAAAGGGTCTAGCTTAGGATCGATATCCGTGGGACTAAAAAAAAAACGTGAATAGTAAGCGTACTCCTTCTTTGAACGCAATTAGAAGAAAAGTAAGCGAAATTATGGGAACATTTTGTGTTCACGTTTACTGTAAACATGCATAGTCCTCTCGCATTCAAAATGGTTTAATATTGTTGGCGTAAATTCACTTAAAGGGGAAGTACGGTCTAGAAAAAGTTTGACTTATTTAGAATCAATTAGAAGAACTTTTCCTCAGGAGTTCGAAAATAACCGCCGTTTTGTCCAGTTTGCCCTGCATTTGCGACAAGAGCGCTTTGAAGGTGTTCTTATTCACGACTTTCGCGGCTAGAAGCACGCCATCTTGGACATGGCTTCAGTTATGACGTAGCAGCAGTCAAACTTTTTTTCCTCGCTTTGTCCTTGTTGACTTGTTTGACATTTGTGAATAGTTGAATAGTTGAACTATCGTGAAATATTTTACATTATGGTTGAATTTCAAAATACACATTAAAATACAAAAGGAAAAGGTGTAAGCGAGG